AGAGAGAGAGAGAGAGAGAGAGAGAGGTGGTGGTGATGTTGGAGAGAGCAGAAGACACGTCAATCGCTATATGCTTGAAACTTCCTTGAGTATATTTATTCCTGCTGTCATGCACAAGGAGATGGAATAGGTGATGGTAAAATGCATCTTTCTCGCTCTAACTGATTAATCTTAACAATCAAGTCTTAATCTGAATGTGGTTAACTGTTATTTGAGCTCTATCTGCAAACTACCTTTTAAGAAACACAGCAGAGAAAGTAAAAATTCGTTGTTATTTCATGAAAAACTGCCATGACTTGAAAATTACCCTAAAAAAGTACCCTGACTTTTGATTATTGCAGCTTGTTGTTGATGGAGAAGTACTAGCTTTCTAAAATAGGGTTGGCATTAACAAACATGAAAATAACTAAATGTGTTCAAAACATATAAGGAACTCAAAGCAACATATATCTAAATTTAACAAAAAAAGAGCCATGTGAATAAATATCAATCTGGACATTCTAAACAGCCAGAACAAAAACCTGGTAAAAAAAAAAGAAAAGTGGTTCAACATTTTTTCTTATGATATTTGTGTCTAATGATCAGTATATAAAAATTATTTTTTTTAAATGCATTCAATTTTATCAAAATTTCGAAAAAAATAAAAGTGTTCTATGCAGTTTACAGGAAAGTCAAAGAGAGTCTTCAAGAAGCTATCCAATGAGGAGACAAAACCTGAGGGAACAGGAACATTTCACAGGGAAAAACTCTATTTTCTAACAAGATTGTCCATCTCATTTCTTGGTGTTTGTGAAAAGGCTTGTGGAATGGGATGATATTTGGGAAGGATTGGAAGAGTGACAGAAGCCAAAAATAAAGCATGTGACCACCTACCAACACACCTTGGCAGAGGGGAGCTCCACACCCGCCTCCTGCCCCCCAAACACACCACCCTGGCCGGACCTTCCAGTCGGTAACCCGGGAAACAGGAAAAGATGAGGGAATCGCCGACGCCATACTGCAGTCCTTTCCTAGTACTGTAGAGTGGAATTCCAGGATCTTCACATGGTTCCAAATCATACTCTGAAAATGAGAAAGAGAATAAAGGAAAAAGTGTGACAGCACTGTATTGGCATACTGTGATGCCCAAAAAAACCCTTGCTGACAATAAATCAGTAAAAATAGTCCTTTTTTTTTCTCTTTTCTTTCTTTGTTGTAAATTCATCTTATCCTGACCTGAGAAAGTGATGTTAAATCCCTCATATGAGACTGAAAAGTCAGAGAGGAAGCGGATCTGTGCTGTGTAGTTTCCAAACAGGCCTGCGCTGAGAGGTGGAGGCAGTGTGGAGCCGGTCAGTCTCCACAGAGGCTGAGAGAAGCTGCCGTTCTCCGTCACCAGTAAATGGTCATGAGGGCTCTCAAGGTGGAAAGTGTGGAAGGAGAACTGGACACCTGAATAAGACATGGAAAAGAAAATCAATAAAAAAGCAGATTTTTTTAAATGATTTTTTATCTATTACCATAGAAAATAAACAATAGACAATACATGTAATTACTGTAAATAGAAGGAATTTGTGATTAAGAAAGAAAGAAAATGATCTTATCTCACCCATTTATGTGAAATATGACATTCTCAACTTCCTTTTTCTTTTTAAAAACACTTTTCTGACACTTACTAAAGACGTACACACAGGATGGACATCAGTAAATTAGGCTTATTCAATTCAATGCAAGCTATTGACCAAAAGGCAAATGACTGGAAAGTCATCCCACAGCAGCGTAGCCCCGGGCTAGCCTCTCAGCACTCCAGTCTTACAAAGACAGCTTGTTTGGCAAAATAAAAAGGCCAACTCGGTAGGGGGAAGTGACATTGTAAGGGAAATTAAATTTGACTGCTTCATGTGTTGACATGTAATTTCTGCTCTAACCTTTGCCATGGGAGGTCTCAATTATCCACGTGCAGTTCAGGTTGTGTGGGTAAAAATCTGGGAAGCCAGGAGACAGGATGGTTCCGGTGTTGCCCTGGATATAACCTCCACACAACGCTGGCAGAGCAGGGCAAAGGCAAAGAGCAGAGAAATGACAGATTAGAAATGGGAGAACAGAGCCGAGGCATAGTTAATAGCCTGAAACTAAAGATTTAATAGCTAAAGAAGAAAACATCCAAAACTTTTTGGTGCATTAAAATGCAATACAATTCCAACAGATGCCCTTTGATAAGGCTATAAAAAGGAAAGCATTATTAGCAATATGGGAACAGAGTAGCAAGGATCAATAATGTCCTCAAACATAAAAACATTTACAAATGAGGGAATAGGGAACTATCAAAGGGTAGATCACTGCAGAAAATTATAAAATATTTACAATGAACTGAAGCAGAATCAGAACTTAGAAAAAGAGACTAGGAACATAAATGGCTTTAAATGTGATGCAATATGCAGCAAAGTGACGAGATGAGTTAACCTCTTATGTTTAATCTGAAACAACTCAGCAATGAATTCAGCTTTAATCCCATTTGTAAAGCGGGAGAAATCTGGCAAGTGACAATTCATTTCTAGGTCAATAATATGGAACATACCATCGCAACTAGGCAGGGGGCGACTCCACTGAAAATTGGGTTCACACTCCAAAGGCTCCGTGTCACTAAGTGTGTATCCAGCCTCACAGCTAAATGTCACCAAAGCACCCACATAGAAGTCGTTTCCATGCCGCTGCCCATTGACAGGTATGCCAGGATCCACGCAGTGATCTGACTGTAGCTGCAAAGCTACGGAGGGAAGTTAGAAAAGGAAAATAAAGGATTAACAACAATCAAAGAAAAGAAGAAATCCTTAAATCTCTGTCCCTATAGTCACGACTGAGAATATCCTTTCTTAAACAAGTCAAAAGATGTTGAAATTCTGTTTGCATTCATCACACAACAGAGTTAAACAATTTAAATGAGCATCCATTCTCAACAGGAATGAACCAATAAGATCACTCCTTCCATCTAAAGCATTTGCACAGAGACGTTGCAGAATGTGGTCTGCTTTGACTGTAGAATTACTCAGACTAGTGGAGAGTACTTCAAGGGGAAAATGTAAACTTGACGATATGGGTCAAGGTGGTAATATCTGACAGAATAATCTCCATAAATTTGTTTACTGGTATTTAATTAAGCCTGGTTTCAAGTCAAAAAGAAAGTCTGGGGAGATTGCATTTAAAGTCAGCACTGTATAGCTTATATCTGCTTTAAATACACGTCGACATTCTTCTTTTTGTACTGGATAGACAATAATAGGAATGCTGTTTATTTATGTATTTAACTTTGCGAGTGGGACCTTACTTTCGTAACGTATGCGAAAGCCAATGTCAGAGTGGCTCTTGTCAGTTGAAAAGTGAAGATACAGGAAGTTGGAGGTGCTGATAAGGAACTGAGGAACCTGGGTGCCCTGGTAACTTCCAATAAGAGGTGAGGAAGGAAATCGTCCATCACGAACCTCAAGAACATCATAGTTGACTTCAGTGCGAAACCTGAAAAGAGGTAAGACAGACTTTCTTAAAAGACGAGATCCAAGCAAAAAGACTGAATGCTTAATCATTAATATATACATATATAAAAACAAAGAAAATTCAGATATCAAAATACCATATCATAGGTGTAAATATAGAAAATACAGTGCTCGTTTCAACGCTTAAAGTTAACAAGAAGGATTTAAATTGGAATTAACTTTCTAGTTGCTTAATCTAAGGCAAATCAAAGATAGACTACGGAGGGAAAGGAAGAAAATGCTCTATGTAGACTGATCTAGGAATTAATGAAGTGGAATGTGACGTAAAAAAGGTTCAACAGTAAGTTCTTTCTGATAAACTGAGTGAAAAGTAAAATTAGTCTGTGTTTAACCACTCATTTTTAGAAATACAAAAACATGACGTATAGCTGATGGTTGGTGGTCGAATTGCACACAACCTTGCTAAAATATTTTTGCATGCTTTATGATACAGTTTAATGAAATTCAGCAAAATCTGACATTAGGGAGTTTGGATATTCGTAGCATGTATGGCTCTGTGTATGTGTGTGCCGGGTGTTTCATTTCTGGCTTTATTGCCAGAGCCACTTTATCTTCAAAGCCATGAATAAATAGCTTAGCTCCAGAACCATGTCATCTAAATGAAACTGCTTGTGATGTTTTATTGATGTTACATAAAAATTAAAGACCAACAACATTTATGCTGCATTTATTTTGCATGGTGTCCGATCATAGCAGGAGCAGGGACAGGATTGGTGTGCAAAAATGGCTTTTATTGAAAACATTAATGTAGCGTTTGATCGCACAACTGTCTGTTGCTCTCAGTATCTCTCTCGACATTGGGACAAATTACCTTCTCTTCTATCTCTATGGTTTCTATCGACAAAATATCTCTGCTTGCCTTTATGTATTGTACTCTAAGTACTTGTGGATCAATGCAGTTTCTGAGGGTCTATGTCACTTAACAAGGAATATCTAAGGGATCATTATTAGAGAGAATATTAATGAATGCATAGAGCACTTCTCAAAGAATACTTTAAATACAAACTAGTGATGGTATCCAAGTTGGGGCCCTGTGTGCAAAAGATCTAATATATTACGCCTGCAGTGGAAAGACAAAAGCAGAGATTAGATAAAGTGAGAAAGAGTGGAGAGGTGAGTATGAGAGACTAAGATTGTGAGAGGGTTTAAGAAGTCAAAAGCTGCAAGAAAACAAGTGTTTTGAGAACATTAAACAATCCGGCGTAGTGGCTGATCTTCTTGTGGCTCACTTGTCGAAAATGATCTTGATGGGATAGCCCGGAGGAGCCTCAATGATCCATTCACAGTTAAGGGCCTCCTTGTATAGTTCTGGCCAGCCAGGAGAGAGGATGATTCCACTGGGAGCTTTCAGATCTCCTCCACATGGGGCTAACAGAGGGTGAGAAAGAGGGATAAGAACTGAATTATACATGTCTGTCCCAGGTGATGTATGGCACCGTCCATGGATGATTCCTTGCATTAGCCGAGGCTCTTCTCATTTCTTTTACCGCCAGGCTTTCTCTGGTATGAACTGGTGACAGCTAATTTCAGGGTTAACTATTTATGCAAGGAACTTGTTTGCCACTCTATACGTGTCAGTGTGTACACAAACACATCCAAGTGCCTTTTACGGGAGTTTTAAATGTATTATAACACATTTTTCATAAAGGTTTGCTCTCATCAACATCAGTCGGAAAAAAACAAAATATCTTTGATTACTTGAACAAAACGCAGTTATGCACACAAACCCCTCTTTTGAACCTTGGTGTCTGTTACGGTTCAGTTTAACATTCTCTTTAAAGGCCTATCTTTAACCAGAACACACAGGGACAGTGGAGGGGTTTGTTACAGTGCCGGCTCCCTGCTCCCCTTTGAAGTGGAATGATTTAATCAGCCAACTCAGCATACTAAAGCACATCTATGAAATGCATTACACTACAAATGCAGGGTTTTGATAGATGGTCTCAGAGGAATATCAAGCTGCTATGACACACGAGGCACTGGAGTGGGAAGCTGACATGCTTTAATAAAGGTTTTTCCTTTTGCATATCATGAATAGGTGAATCTGATTAGGCCACTTAGAGTTTAAGCCATGGCTGCAATTACAGTGCTTTGTGCTGGTGATAAAAAATTAAATAAAAAAAGGTAAATGCTTATCTTTAACCTAGGTTTTCTAGCTATGCTGGCCTGTTCTGGTTTCCTGGAAATCGTCTATTGACTAATAAGTCAGGGAGGAATAAACAGAATGTTCATTCATTTGTATATATACGTTCGGAATTTTTTACATGTTGGACACTGAATGCTACAAAGTCCCTGAATTGTCTTCAGTTTCATTAGTAGCTGATCTCATTGTCCTCTACATAAAATCTGAAATGAATTAGTTGTATAATTTGTTGAGGAAACTGAATTCAATAGAATGAAAAAAAAGAGTTAAATCCAAAAAGTTAAATCAATTTCTGAAAACTTCTTCCATTAGTTGTCATGTCTTCAATATTTATCATTCCATGTGTCGATATTGTCCACATTATGGTTTAAAGGAATTCATGAAACGGAAAAGAAAAAGTGATCTGGATTTGCCTGTCCTTTACTCACCCTCACAACGAGGGACAGCATTGTCCCATACGACATTGCCATCTTTCAGAATACAGGAGATGGTTTGAGATCCGTGGGTCTTCACGAAGCCCTCTTCACACAGGAATGAGATGGAACTCCCCAGCTGTAGGCTCTCCCCAAAACGTTTTCCATTAACTGGCACTCCTGGATCCGGGCATTCGTTGTGGCGAAATGCTGTTGGAGATGCAGAAAAGACATGGAGTTGGATTGTAGTTTGATGGTAGATATGCTTATCTCCTTATGTAAAGGATTGATCAGTGCTGTTCAAACAAATAAAGGAGGTGTTGTAATTCTCACGGGAAATTTAAATAACTCACCTATTGGGGATACCTCCTGATCTGGTGTTTGGGATTTTGCGTCGACTGTTTTTTTTTTTTTTTTTTAAAGTGCAATTCACAAAAATACTTCCTTTCACATTATTACGGATCACGCCATAATTAAGTGAAAAGAAACTGATATTTTCTGAAACACAATGTTTTCGCGAATGGACAAGTTGTCTCTTGCTGTCCAACAGCAGTAACATCTGTGTTATTAGTTTGAAAAATCTGGAGGAAGCATATATTTTTAATTAGAGATCATTGCCTTAATATTAGCCATATATTTCTTTTTGAGAATTCAGATTGCATTTTTTGTTTAAATCGGCAATATGCCAAAAAAGTTTCTAGAGAAAAAACATTTTCCCTCTCTTTCTGCCGTTAGCATACTTTGTCCACATGTCAGCATGGGACAAAAAGACATTTGTTTTACTTAGTCACATTGATTCACTCTGCTGCAATAATTCCACAAGGTTAGGCAACCGTACTATATGTAGATCGTCAATGTTACATGACACTGGTAAATTGTTTTTGCAGTAAACAAACAAGGAAAGCTATTATTATTCATCTTAAGAATTGTATCTATCAGGCCTCTAAATGCAATTCCAAGTAAGAACCAGTCGAAAAAGGCGAGAGGACGCGCAGTCCTACAAGTGGAGTCATAACCCTGGAAAAAGAGATGTAAACAAATACATCACCTGCACTGCTATCTCTTTCGTTCTTGTGCACACAAGCAGTTGTTGACACATGTAGGTGTTGATTAATCCCTCTTCTGTATTCACTGGACCCAAATTAAGTGCCAGCTACAACTCATCCATCACAAAATATTATTTATTAACGTACCAGAAATTGCCTCAATACAGTTTGGCATGTCTATAATTAACATGAATGATGGAAGTTGTCTGCTCAGCCCCACAACCTCCAAAGATCTGTCCTGCTGTAAGATGACACTGTTTTCGGGAACGCGTCGTCATCTTATTAACTTCTCAACATGTTTATTCACCAATTAGGAGTGGCTTCTTTTTTTTAAACTTGCTAACTTGCTAATTTAATGCACCAGCCACCTGGTGTGGTTTTCTTTGGGACTTTACAGGCACATCTGGGCTTGATCAATTATGTGTGTGAGTTTATTACATGTACACACCACATGTATTTGAATGAAGAAGATATAATAGACTATTAGCTTGAATAAGCATCCAAGCAGCACATACAAAAATGAATTTACTGTATCTGAAAAGGTGTGTACAAAAAGACTGCTGCCAAAATTACTATACAATTAAATTGATATAAATTGAGCTATCCGCATAAAAAAATATGCATGAAGACGTTTGAACACAAGTCAAAATATGGGGTTGTTTTGCGTTTTAAAATTGTAAATTTGTCTTGGGTACTTTTTATGATAGAATCTTAGAGAGATTTCTTTAACCATTTTGTCAAAATAACATGTGTTAGTTTATCTGTTTTGTATACAAGTTAAGTTCCTGTGAGTTAGAGCTCAAATGTCTTACTGTTTCCATTTGTCTCTATTTTTCCACATTGGCTGGACACAGGAATTTAATACTTCTTTAAGATTCCAATATTTTCTTTTTAGCACTGGAAAAGTCTTTGAACAAGGCTTTAACTGTCAAGAATATAGTTTTGTGTGGTCAGGCACAGAAGTTTAGAGGATGGATAAATGTAAAACTGTACACACATAAAACAAATATCCTGCTATCACTGCTACTGTTACAGTCACAGCTAGTGTTTACTGTGTCAGAGTATAAACCATTTCCTCAAACATCAGCAGTTACTCATAATGGAATATGAGCACAGCCCTGAATTGTCAGCTAAGGACACTGCATCTTTATTTAGACGTCAAGTCTCTGTTAAGATAATAAAGACAGAGAGTTTTTATTTTTGTGAGAGTCCAAAGAGTGTGATACGCTGATACATGGTACAGTTTACTCTGTGGGAGACAGGGCAAGATATGTAAGATGATTCATGAGGCAAATCATCTGCTCACCCATCATCCCACACATGTACTGTAAACATGCATAAACAACTTGTACAGTATGTGTGTAAATATCCAGCTCAGGGTGGGTGTCCCCGATAAGCTTTTGCATAATTTTTCATTCATTCAGTACTTACTTGTAAAAGTGATATTAAATCCTCTGTTTGTGTATGTGTGGTCAGTCAGGAACTCCAGTCGTGCCACGTGGGCACTTGTAGTTATGGGAGGTGGCAGAGCGTCTCCAGAAAAGGTGCCCAGGATGGGAGATTCAGCCTGACAAAGATATATTTTCT